GGAATTGGCACAAAGACGAACTAATAGATAAATAGAAAAAGAATGGACATCCCAGAACCAGATTCACATATATTGGTAAATTATAAAAGGAATTGACAGTCTTTTCAGTACACGATCCTGGGTCAACTGGATATCCATATGGAAGAAAAAAAGGAGACATGACCTTATAGCATATCTTAAAATCAATTCCAGATGGACAACATTGTCAGACTACATTGCCACTAGCTATATTTAATTAAATTAATTAAAGGAAATAAAATTTAAAATTCAGTGCAACAGACATACTGGCCACATTTCAAGTGCTCAATAGCTGCATCATATTGGCTGTCATATTGGACAGCACAGATAGAGAATAGTTCCATCATTGCAGAAAGTTCTATTGGAGAGCACTATTCTAAAAGAAATTATAGGAGAATATCTTTATGACTTAAGTAGGAAAAATTTTCTTAAACAGAAGTTTTAAAAAAGATGCTAACCATAAAAGAAAATCTTGAAAAATCCAATTCAATTAATTTAAATTTAAATTTAAATTAGGACCTCCTTTTCAACAAATAACACTAGAAAGACTATAATGCAAGCCACAGAATGGAATAAGAGCCAGGTTTACGGTGAGGCAAGTGAGGTGCTAAGCTTGGACACAATTTTTTTAAAGGGGCACCAAAAAAAATCCCTCAGTAATCAAAACAAATAAGACGTTATGCAATATTTTTAAAAAGCAGAGTTAATTTTTAAAAATCCATGATGAGCAAAATGTCGTAATTTTAAATAAAGATAGGTATCAGTATTTCTGAGTTTTCCTTTGCCTCAGGCTCCAATATGATTTGACAGCATTGTGGGAAATGATATTTGCAACATGTACACAACAATGTCCATAATATTTAAAGAACACTTATAGATCAATAAAAATGTCAGACAACCCGACAGAAGAATAGGTTCAAGACCTGAAAGTTATTTCACAAAACAGTATATCCAAATGGCCAATAAATATATTAAAAGGTGCTCAACTTCATTAGTCATCAAGGAAATATAAATTAAAATAAAAAAGCATTCCACTACTCTCCCACCAAAATGGCTAAATGTAAAAGACAGACAATACCAAGTGTTGAGAAATCTCAGACATGGCTGGTGGGAGTGTAAAATGATGTAACTAATTTGGAAAACTGGCAGTATCTCTTAAAGCAGAACTCACACGTCCCATAATTCAGCAATTCCATTTCTAGATATATCCAATAGAAATGCATTCATATGTTCAGCAAAAAACTGTTCATAAATGTTCCTAATAGAACTGTTCATAATAGTTCCCAACTGGAAACAACCCAAATGTCCATCAATAAGGCAATGGATAAATAAATTGTGGTATATAAATTCATGAAATACTATAGAGCAATGAAAATAAAATATTACTACATGTAGGAATTCCCTGGCGGTCCAGTGGTTAGCACTCTACCCTTCCACTGCAGGGGGCAAAGAGTTCAATCCCTGGTCGGGGAACCAAGATCCCACAAGCCGCATGGTGCAGCCAAAAAACAACAACAAAAAAACCAAACAAACAAAAAAAACCCAAAATATTACTACATGCAATAACATAACTGAATCTTACAAACATAATATTAAGCAAAGGAAGTCACACATCAAAGTATATACACACATACATAAACCCTCAAACAGGCAAAACTTAATTATGGTGTTAGAAGTCAGGTTAGTGGTTGCCCTTGGGAAGAAAGGGACTTAAAGAGGGCATGAGGGGGTTCTGGGTACTGGTAATGTCCTATTGCTAGATCTAGGTTTAGGTTTCCTGGGTGTGTTTATGTGGTGAAAATTTCATCAAGCTGAAGGCTTTTTTGTCTAATAGAAACAGAAAAACTTTCAATAACAACTTTACTTAAAAGAAAATAAAAATGTGTCCAGACCATTCAGGATCCCAGTGAAGAGGGAGATCAAGATTTTAAAAATTAAGCAATCAAGTGACAAAGTCAGCTGTCACAACTGTCTCCCTCTGACCCCACTCCCTCTCCCCTAGCTAAGGCAGATACTTTCAGCTGTCATCTTATCCACAAGTAGGGGAAGCTAGTCTTTGTCTTCCCATTTGATGCACGGAAAGATGGCTGCCCTGAGCGGGTCAATGACTAGATTAAGGCCTCACAGGCTGTTAGAAGTAGATGCAGGACTAGAAACTGGTCTCCTAATTCCTATTCCTGAGCTTTGTGCACCAGGGCCTGCTGCTCCTGTGAATCAGGTCACCTGATCACACCGAAGCTCTAATCCGTGAATGCCTTCACTAGGGTCCAGTGAATTTTTCTCTGTGTCCCTAACTTACAGTGATGCTAAGGATGGGGATGGCCTCCTAATTTATTTCACAGCTGAACTAACTTAAAGCAGATACCTAGTCAGTCATCACTGTATACACTTCTCTGGAAGCAAATGTCAAAGGGTGCAACTACAGGACATAAGGAGGCAATCTTAAATAATCACTTTTCCCTCTTCTAAAAGTCCAATTAATGACTGTATTGAATGAGGCCTGATGGCACTTGAGAGCAGAACAAACCAAGCAAAGAGTGAAACACATACCAGGTGGGATACTGTCTGCAGTGACTATTTCTAAACAAATGAAAGAGACACACTTCTCATCTTTTAAATAAGATTTAAATTGTGGTTTTAGAATGTTTTGAATTTAGTACTTTTGCTCCAAGCTGATTCTTCTTAAAAACACCTGAATATAAAGAAAGAATCTGTAAGCACGGGTTTCGGGAACAGATGGAGACAGAACTGGTGGCTGTCTAGCAGGCAATTTATGGCTGTGTCCTACCTGTGTGCGGGCCATCAGAAGGGCTTATGGACCTCTCCCCCACTGCAATGCCCCCAGTCGTCTTCTTTTTCCTCAAGAGAGCTGCCTTTTGAGCAAATGCAGACCTCTAGGGGCTCTAGGGACTACTTTGGCCCCAAGACCCAGCTGCATAGGTATTCAAATTGGATACAGACTTTAGCTTTACAGTTCTTTCCAATTTTCTCCCCAAAATCTGAATAAATGTTCCCTACCCAACTGAAGTCAGTTTTCTCTCAAGCCATGGTCTATTTCTTTGTGCACATTCTCCCCAAACTATATTCTTTCTTATGTCAATCAAAGATGACGCTCTGCTACCCTCCACCATCCCCCAACCCCAACACATACACCGACATCTGATCTTTTTGGTTTCTATTTTCTATTTCTCTTCTGTAATAGCTCTTCTCTCTTTTTGACTAGTGTCCTGGCTCTTTTGTCCAACTTTGAACACTTGGACTCCTTTGCTTCCTCATGCTGGACTGTAACTGCATCTTTGCTAGAATGCTTACCCATATGTAGAAGTGCTTGGAAGAGAGAAAGATTCATGGTGTAACCGAAAGATGGCAAGTTTTATGTTATTTTACCTTTTGATAATCCTTCAGACTGTCTTGAAGAACAAGAAACAGCCCTTTCCCAGATTGCATTCCAACCCCGAGCCACTTACACAAAATGAGGGTTACTGCACTAGACCGTAAAACCGCCAATTAAAATAATTGTCTTGAATTGGGTTATATATTTCCTTATATCCTTGAATATTCTCAGGACTCCAAAGCAATTGAATCTGGTATGTGGTTTCCTAGACCCACAGGTCTGTTTTTCAAAGCCTCAACCTGAGAGAGACTGAAACCAAACACTTCAACCACAATTTACTTCTTTTGAGGTAAAGATTGGTCTCCTTTCTACATCTGTCTGACCCGATGTTTGGGTGACCAAATCAAAAGGCTATAATGATCCCTCCATTCCTGGTAATTACCTTTGCATGGGGCCATCCTGCTGAGGGTTGTGCCCAGAATGAAGCCATCAGTGTCAGTGCCCCGATCCTTAATGAGATCCCTGTGGTTTAAGCAGAGCAGATGCAGACACATGCCCTACCTTCAACATGAGTGAGAGTCTTTTCCTGCATTTTCAGAGCAGTTTGACCAAAGGAACTATTGTAACTTCATGCTTCCAGCGTATGGTTCCATTTCTCCCTGGATTTGTTCTTCATATTATCTGTGTTGTCGGTTCATTGCAACATGGCTGCTCCCTCCACGAAGGTTCTTCTCCTTTCCTACACGTATGTCAATAGAGCTCTGCATTTTGGTACAGTGAAAGGCACAGACCTGCAGTCTTCTCTTCTCTGGTACTATCTCAGGTAACTGTACACAAGGCATGGGCAGGGGCTGGCTGCGTTTACAATAATTTGGGTGCTCAGATATAGGAAAATTCACACCCGAATAAGAAACTGTGATTACGAAACTTCAATTAGTGGAATGTACCAGGCAAAAATCATTTAGGCACCGAGGGCTTGGGGAAATTTTTACTATAGAAGAAACAAACAAAGTAGAAGAAAATGAGGAAGAGGAAGGAGGGGAGAGAAAGGAAAAAGAAGAGGAAGAAAAAGAGAAGAAGAAGAAATTGAGCTCATAGATATCATGCTAAGCATAGATACCGCACGGTACCGAAACACCCGCTGAGAAAGAGAAAGAGATTTCTTCTTCCCACACTGGGCTCACCTCTCGCTCTACGGGACACTGTTCCGGTAATCGTCAGTAGCAGCTTTCTGTGTTCAATAATAGATAATTCCAGATCAAAAGAAGGGTTCTGAAATCAAGATGTCGTTTTTTAGATCGATGGGCTCTCCAAGTGGAATCCAGGGATCTCTGGTGGGTCGGCAAAGATTCTTCCAATCGTTCTGTGGGTTGGGTCAGTATGCAAGGCACAGAAGTATGTTGGGTGGTTTGGTTTTTTTCCCTTTGAAACAATATTTTCCACTGTGGATTTCAATCAAAACTTAAATGCATCAAAACAAACATGTTTAAAGGGAGCTACAAATAATCACAGGGATTCAGCAAAAACAGCTCAAAAGTGGTTTTTTGTTTCTTTGTTTGTTTGCTGGCTTGTTTGTTTAGTCTAGTAAATAGGTGAGACACTCTTGTTTTGCTCAAATAGGCTAAGGACTAAAAATTTTGAGACTCACCAGTCCAGATGAAAAGACGAACCTTGCAAAGCACACGTCTTTGAGGGGAAGAAAGTCAGGTCCTTTCTCCTCTGAGTTTCCCATTTCCCAGTGTCATTTAGTTCCTGGTCCTCTCTCTCTGTACTGCTTTCTAGCTCAGTGCCCACAGCTCTGAAGTCAGAAGCAGCCACTGCCAAGAAGAGCCCTTCTCTGCTGCCATGGCTGTCTTTACTCAGGTTTCTCTTCCAGGGAGCAGGAGCTCAGGTGTGGGGTGAAGGAGTTGTCAATTGCAGCTGCAGCTTGGGAAGGTCTGTTTTTCCTCATCCCAGCCCCACAGCAAGAGTTAACCCCAGGAGAGCCTGGGCTGCTGGAGGGGAGTTTTGTGAGCTATCTAATGACCCAATTGTTACCCATATATTGTAGCACAACAAAACTGTCAGGCCATCTAGGCTGCTCCGATGCCATGAGATAAAATTTAGTACTTATGTCTACATCTGCCTTTCCGTCTCTAACAGAGCAATGTGTACATTCAGCTATTTGTTGGACCAATTTGCACAGTCATGGTTTCTTAGAAGAATTTCAAAACGGATGCACTGTCTATACTGTAGGTAAACAGTGTGGGAGCCGTAAATTAGAATGGACTCAGAGGCCTGTAATTGGATTTTGCTGAAGTTTTTGCAACGCCATTTACCTGTTCGGATAATTCTGTCACATGTACAAAGTGCTCTCAGATAACGCAGATGTCACCCTTAATTACTCAGATGCTGTTAGCCCTCTCAATCCTTTGGTGCAGACCCACTCAAGAATAAAGGAAGCAATGTTCTTCTCACCTTGCTTGATCAGGTGAAAAGAACTTGTTCGCTCTTTGAATGTGATTGAAAAAAAAAGAAAGAAAGAAAGAGGAAAAAACCAGTCCCAACATCTGAATGGAATTTATTACGTACCTCTCTGGGACCCCCTGGTTCCTGAATGTTTCAGCTAAGGATTCCCTCTTCCAAAGTCTGCAGAAGCTCAAGGACCCGCAGCCTGTCAGGGAATGATACTTTGTTGCCAGTTACTGCAAGTTGGTTTAAATATGCTGTCAAGATGCTGTAGCTGTGACCAAACCCCTGGCAGGGGGAGGCGGGGCAGAACGTGCCACGTAAGCATGCTCCTGTGTTTCTGTGTGGACACCCAGTGGGAAGGATAGTTGTCACTTCTGGAGAAACTGAAGGTTCTCTACTGTATTACATGATATGCCAGCACTAGAATCTGCCTCATGCAGGTAAAGTCCACAAACTTACTCATGTCTTGAGGAGATCTATGTTTGATTCCTATTATGGCTAATGTTTCTGGATTCCTTGGGTATCAAGAAAGAGGATCAGGGCTTCCCTGGTGGTGCAGTGGTTGGGAGTCCGCCTGCCGATGCAGGGAACACGGGTTCGTGCCCCGGTCTGGGAGGATCCTGCGTGCCGCGGAGCGGCTGGGCCCGTGAGCCATGGCCATTGAGCCTGCGCGTCCGGAGCCTGTGCTTCGCAATGGGAGAGGCCACAACAGTGAGAGACCCGCGAAATGCAAAAAAAAAAAAAAAAAAAGGAAGAGGATCAGAGGATCAGAAGACCTGGTTTCAGCTCCGACAGCTGCTTACAAGCTCTAGGATTTTAAACTAATGTATCTGCTTTCTCTGAGCTTCGGTTTATCAGTACCATGGGTAAATAATATCCTCAATGGAGGTACTGGGGAATGAATTGAGATAATGATATGCAAAGTGCCTGGTGGTGTTCCACGCACATAAACTGTGTGTGAATCTGGGGGAGCACATTTTGGCAAACGACGACTCAGCCTTGAAAGAGGAAGACCCCATAATTATAATGGGAGCCCAGGGAAGGGCTTCAGTGACTGCTAATACCCTGATTTACTGCAACTTTTTGGAGGATATTTGTTCTTAAGTTGAAATGGCAGAACACGCACTGAACTGGAAGTTAGGCAATCAGTGTTCTAGTCTTGACTCTAGTAACAACAAAGCTAGATGAGTTTGGGCAAGTCATTTAATCTCTTTGTGTTTGTATATATAATAGTGAGAGTCATACTTTCCCTTTCCAAAGTTTAGCATTATTGTGATGCTTAAATAAGATAGGGTCTATACAAAAATATGTAGAACATATTAAAATATAATTAATTTTGGTCAAAAGCTTCAAAACAATCCTATCAACCTATCAGTGCCTAACACATTCTGGCACATGTGTCTGATACTTAATCCTGTTTCTGTGGCTGATAAGAATGAGTTATAACTGGCAATGTCCTCACTGAATTCACCCAAATAGCCAGTCCCTTGCGTTCTGTGTATAGCCCTTGAGGGGCAATGAGAAATAACATCAGGAGAGGAGCAAAGGCTGAACTCCAACTTTTCTAAATTTCCTGCGAATGCATGGTTGGAGCTTCTAGAATGAGGGCTATGTCTTTGATGGCTAGAATTGAGGGTCCTGTTTGGAGCCAAAGGGCTTCAGGAGATTGCTCCCTGTTTTGACTTAAGTATATAGTGGAGCAGGTCAGGAGGTCTGGGAGGCAGGGATAGTATCATCTTTGCAACTTTTTGAAGCTTAAGACAAAATCCCACCCTTAAATCCCTGATCACACAACCTTGTAAACACTTACTTTCAACAGTAGCCAAGAAGGAGAACCATTCTATCAGATTTTTCATTTCCCTTCCCATCCAAGAAAATAACTGCAGAAGAAAGTTAGGAAAACTCATGTTTATTTGTTTTTGTTTTATTGTTTGCTTTTGCTTTTTCTTCCACGACCCAGCATACTGCAGATCTGCCCTGGGTGAACAGATTATGGGAGAGGTTTATGGAGCAGGCTCTCAACTCTGAGGCACTGAGGCTCTATCCCTTTCTTATAGTAAAAGGTTACCTGGAATGTTCCTCCCATTTATGGGTCAGCCTGGGCCCTAAAACAAAGCCAGCTGCCCCAAACTCTTCTGCATGGACATGGAGACTTGTGGACATAGAGCTTTTCCCACAAATGCTGCCTTTTACAGGAAGCCACTGAAGTGATGGGCTGGGGTTGGGGAGCAGGGAGGCAGCAGGTGGACAGTGAGAATTAGGATTCAATTTTTCCTTGGGCGCCTTGGCCTTGGTCTGCAAAGCAGAATACACTGTGAGGTATCCCAGTTCCAGGCATGCAGCACCTCCTCCCCAAAACTTGTTTAGTGTCCTTAAACAATCCCCACTCACGTAGCAGTAAGAACAGGAACGCACTGGAACTAACAGAAGCCCTGGCGTTTAAAGTCCTACAGCAGATCCAAATCCAGGCTTCCACATTAGAACCATGCAGTTTATCCTTTTAGAAGGAGTCATTAGCATGAATTTCGTTTTAATGCTTATGGATTCTATCTACCTCAGGAGCACTTTGGAAAAATCTAAGATAAATCTAAAAATCTAAGAAAAATCTTAGAGAACCTGTATCTAGTTAGATTCACAGTAAACAACTAGATAAAGGGCTGCTAGTTTAATATTTTTAAGGTGTGGGGTATGTCAGTTCATTAGAAATAAGAGTAAATTGGGACAGTTTTCGTTTGGGGGGCATCTGGTCAGGAGGCCTTTAGGGGACCAGGATGTTCCAGGGAGCGGATAATCTCATTCTCTGGCCTTTATTGTTTGAACTTCTACCAATCTGGGTCTGAAGAGAGTGGAAATGGGCTATGAGTTCAAGGACAAGAGGGCCCTTAGGTAGGGGGGCCATACTTGTGAGTACAGGGCTTCCAGGATTGGGATAGGCACAACCCTCTTACTCCCAAAACTTGTTCCCTGGCTGGCCCTCCTTCCTCTAGTTTTTCAGGCCCTGTGATCTTTACTGCAAAGCAAACCATATGGTTTTGATTCTGGCTCCTGGCTTACTGAGAGTGTTTCATGTCTCCAGCGACAGGAAGCCCTCCAGCCTCTTTAAGCAGCTGCTCTGGTATCTAAGAGAGGAGGCCAGCTCTTTTGGACTCCCTCACCAGCTGGGCATGGCAGCCCAGTGGAGGGCAGCACACAGTGTGGAGAAAGGATAACAAGAATGGCTGTAGGGGTGAGGAGACACTCCTGGGATTCACAGAAGTGGACTCCAGGCTCTCCCACTTGTGTGTATCTGTCCAAAGAACTGACTTTTTCCCCTTAATGCTGCCCCTGGGTTTCCATTTGAGTGTTCCTGGAGAAGGGAGAGCAGTACCTAGTCCTTCTGGAAGTGATGGGGAGGGAAGTCCCTTAAAAGGGACCACACAAAGCATCTAATCCCATGGATTGGTGCTTCAGTCAAATGAACTTCTGGTGAGTTTCAATGGGATTCACTGGAAGAAAATTCTGTGATTTGAGTGGTAGGGACAGTGGAGGTTAAGGAAAGTCAATCACTTCTCAGAAGGGATTGAAGCTACTCTATTGTGAAAGGGATGACGGTATACTGACAGGCTAATGAAAGTCTTGAAGCAATCATTTTGTTTATTTATATAATGCTTTATAATTTTCAGTCATTTGATCTTGTCTCTAGGCCTGTGCTTTTGCTGACCTTTCCACTTGAAATTTTTTTCTGCAGATCCCCATATGGCTTTCTCCTTCTTATCCTCCAGATTTCAGTGTTTCCTTGTCAGAGAGGGCTTACCTGACTAATGTCTCTTCACTCCCTATCACATCACTTTATTTCCTTTCTATAACTCATCATTATTTGAAATTATCTTGTTCGTTTACTTGTTTTGGTCCAGTTATTCAACCATAATGTAAGCTCCGTGAAAGTATCCCATCTATCTTGTTCACTGCTGTATCCTCAACGCCTAGAATAGTGCATGCAGAACAGCAGGTATTCAATAAATATGTGCTGAATGAGTGGAGTGGGTTGGGAGAGCTAGCCAAGAAAATCTAGGTAAAACTGGGATGAGATGCATATGGTCAGAAAGAACAGAAATGATCAGGAGAGGAAATTGAGACCAGTAATCAAAATTTCCTGAGAAGTGGAAATAGAAAGTGAAAATAAAAGAACCACATTTTGCCTGATGTGTTGCAGCTTTCATCAAATGCATCAAATGTTTGTTAAGTACTCCTACTCCTAGGTGGCAAGCATTATGCTAAGAGCTGCGAATACAAAGATGAATGAAGTCATAGGATGGGGAGAATGAATGAA